GTTAAAGAATCATGAAAAGAACTACCCCACACACGACTTGGAGCTTGCAGCAGTGGTGTTTGCATTAAAAATATGGCGACACTACCTTTATGGCGAGCATTCTGAAGTGTTTACAGATCACAAAAGCCTCCAGTACATTTTCAAGCAAAAAGAACTAAATTTGAGACAGAGAAGGTGGCTCGAGCTATTGAAGGATTATGACATCAATATCCTTTATCACCCGGGCAAAGCTAATGTGGTAGCAGATGCACTTAGTAGGAAGTCAATGGGTGTCTTGGCCCATCTTGCAGTACAAAGGCGATCTTTGGGTCGAGAAATTCAAAAACTAGCAAATGATGGAATTAGATTGGATGAGACCGAAGAAGGAGACATAACTGCTTATGCCTTAGCGCAATCCTCCCTTGTTGCGCATGTTAAGGCTAAGCAAGACGAAGATCCGTACTTAGTGAAATTAAAAGAAGGAGTCAGAAGCAAAGAAATCACTGCTTTCACTATAGGAAATGACGGAGTTTTGAAGTTGAATGATAGGTTATGTGTGGCTGATGTAGATGGTCTTAGGAAGGCCATAATGGAGGAGGCTCACAGTTCGAGATACTCTATCCACCCAGGTGATACCGAAATGTATCTAGATTTGAAAGAGTTGTATTGGTGGAAAGGCATGAAGAAACAAGTAGCAGATCATGTGGCTAAATGTTTAAATTGTCAGCAAGTCAAAGCCGAGCATCAGAGGCCTGGTGGCCTAGCTCAAGATATAGAGATACCACAGTGGAAGTGGGAGATGATTAATATGGATTTCGTAGTAGGTCTACCTCGCACATACCGTAAACATGATTCAATTTGGGTTATTGTAGACCGACTGACAAAGTCCGCGTATTTCCTACCAGTAAAGACGACAGACTCCGCAGAGCAGTATGCACGGTTGTACATAAAAGAAATAGTCCGATTGCATGGTACTCCAGTTTCAATCATATCTGACGGAGGCCCTCAGTTCACAGCAAATTTTTGGCAGGCATTTCAGAAAAGATTAGGTACCAAGGTCAATTTAAGCACCGCTTTTCATCCACAGACCGATGGCCAGGCAGAAAGGACCATTCAGACTCTCGAAGATATGATGCGTGCGTGTGTTATAGATTTTGGAGGTAATTGGGATGATCACTTGCCACTTATAGAATTTGCTTACAATAACAGCTACCAGGCCAACATTGGTATGTCTCCTTATGAAGCATTGTATGGGCGGAGATATAGGTCTCTGGTGGGTTGGTTTGAACCAGCAGAGGTGCCGTTGATTGGTCCAGAGTTTGTTTGTGAGGCCTTGGAGAAAGTTCAGCTAATTAGAGAAAGACTTAAAGCGGCACAGAGTCGTCAAAAGTCTTATTCTGACAAGAGGCATCGTGAGTTAGAGTTCGTGGTTGGTGATAAGGTATTTCTGAAAGTTTCACCAATGAAAGGAGTTATAAGGTTTGGTAAGAAAGGGAAACTTAGCCCTAGATTTATCGGACCTTATGAAATTCTAGAAAAGAAAGGAAATGTGGCTTATAAGCTAGCGCTACCCGTTGAGTTGTCCTCTGTTCATCCTGTGTTTCATGTGTCTATGCTTAGAAAGTACATCCATGATGAGTCGCATATAATACCTGTCGATACCATAGAAATTAAGGAAGGCCTGACTTATGAAGAGGTACCTATAGAAATTCTCGATAGGCAAGTAAGAAAGTTAAGAACAAAAGAATTAGCATCGGTAAAAGTTTTGTGGAGTAATCATGATTCAAAAGAAGCTACGTGGGAGGTCGAGGAAGATATGAGGAAGAAGTATCCTTATTTATTTGAGTAACAAGGTATGTGAACCTAGGTTTGACTTGACATTTATATTTCATTTATATATACAAGTTAGCAAGTGTTTATGTCCTTCTTAGATTATACCTAGTTGTTGTAGTAATTTAGTTTATGCCATAGTATATTTAATTTATTAAAGTGATTTACTTGTGCTAGAGTTGTTGTGCTTTAAATTCTTGTTAGTTATTGTGGTACCTCCTTGCCGGAGTGTGAGTAATTAATTTATGAGCTGTGTATGGTGCCTATGAATGGCATGTTATGGTATATTTGGTTGTTGTTGGTGTAGTTGTGGTATTTATGACAGGGATATTCTTTTGGATAGTCCAATTTACAAGGGAAACTCTGCCGAAATTTTTGAAAATTTAGGGAGTTAGCCAAAATTTTGAGTCCCTTGGAAGAATGAATAGTGCTAAGAAAACTTAAGAGGTTCAAATACCTAAGGGATTATTGTTAGCTTAAGAATAAGGTCCTAGCAACATTCGAGGACGAATGTTTTTAAGGAGGGAAGATTGTAACACTCCTTAAATTTATAAAAGTTTCGAGACACGCTAACTATAGAACTAAATTATTACTATTTTTATTATTTTTTTCTTGCCTATAGTGAAATATATATATAAAATTGGATATACAATTAGGAAAATATTAATAATTTTAATATTGTTAATTGTTAAAATTGGGTAATTATTAAATACTAGTTAAGTAAAAAAAAAAGGAAAAACAAATAAAATAACAAAACAAAACAAATGGCTTAAAGCCTTGCATTTAATAGTACGTAATTCATTTTAAAAGGAGGCAGAAGGCAAAAGCCCTGTTCAGAAAAGCAACAAAAAGGTAGAAGCCCTATTTGAATAAACAAAACAAAAGCGGAAAGGAAAAAAAAAACAAAGCAAATACAAGCCTACGAAACAAAGGCAGCCCTGCTTACTCAGGAGGCCACAAAAATATTCTAGGGTTCCTTACAAACCACTAATCCTTGAACTCAGGTATATAAAATTTCTTATTGTCAATTACCCTACAGTAGTATTAGCTAAGAATTGAGTAGTTAATTCCCTTCTTCCTCTATATCATCAATAAATTTCATATTTAGGTGTAGTACTTTAAAACTGATTAAAATATACCGGTTGTTGTAGAATCGATTGTTTGACTGGTATCAATTGGACTGGGACCTACGTATTGGCTCAAGAAATTTTGAGGTGAGTTGATATAACCCTTTACTAAAGTGGTTTAACTCACAAAAGCACGCATACAAGGTGTTTGATGAATTGCTTAAAAGAGTTTATCTTTATTTAATTAGAGCGAGTGAGTACCCATTAATTTAGAATTGTTCTAGCAAAAGTTTAGATGATCTATTATGCTATATGTGCTTAAATTTTCAGATTTTTGTGTTGTTCTTATATGCTATTTTCATGTTGAAAATTATGAAGAAGAGAGAATCTTTAGAAATATCATTATATGTTTATTTCATTCTTATGTCATGCTTTACTNGCTTTATGTTTTACATGCATTTAGAACTTTTGCTCGTAATGTATATGTTATTAAAGTTTCTCCCTCTGTTGTTGAGACTCACTGAGTACAGTGGATGGTACTGACGTTCTCTTTTGGAAAGCTACGTTGGTCTGCGGTACAACGTAGGAACCGGATTTGCAGGCGAACAGGTTACGAGTTAGGACTTCCTTCCCTTCCAGTGATATTGGTGAGCTCCGCTTTTGTTCGTGGAGTATTCTTAGAGTCATTTTCATTTAGCTATTTCTTTGTTTATCTACAGAACTGACCAGGAAATCTCATGTCCTGAGCAGTGCGTCAGTTTATCAGTAGAGGCTTCATAGACATAGTAATTGGGTTGAGATTCATATGTTATTTTATAATAACTTAGCAATAATTCAGTAGTTACAATGAATAAAGTTTTGGAGTTGGTTTATTTAAATATTTCAATTAATCAAGAGTATTTGGTTAGAGTATTGCTTTGTTGCATATAAAGTGTGGAGCTATAATAGATTGAATAAACAGAGATGGTTCGCTCGATCAGGTTCAGTGATCGAGTGCCGGTCTCGGCTTGTTTAGAAAATGGGTCGTGACAATCAATTTAGTGATATCAAATTAATTGAATAGATTATTTACTGGCGTTGGTCATTGAAGTGCAATATTGAGTGGAAGTCAGTCAACCACTGACGGATATAAAAACTAATCACAGTCGAACTTATTCTCAATTTTCTCTTATTATTTGTCCCAAAGGAAAGGAGGAAATAGATGATAGCTGGGATTTGGTGTGTTTCCATGTCAAATTCACTTTCCAGTAGGATGGGAATGCCACAGAGTATGTTACAAGATTAGCGCCAAAGCTCTTAGGAATAATTTTAGAAGGTTAACTACCTCTAATTAAGCACTGTTTATCATCATTTATACTCCTACAGTTATTAGCCATATCTATAAGCCAGGAGTGGAAACTAGAAAATGGCATTAGCAAAACCCTACAGGCAACAAGTCTCATTTACCATGATGAAATGTGCTGAAAACATCAACCTGAATTTCCTATTCTTGACTATATATATATATATATGATATATGCACAAAATGTCAACCTGGTGCTAATCTTTCTGGTCAGTCGTGGCGGCGTTGAATTTTTTATTTGTAAGTTGACTATATGATGAACATGGTACGTAGTCTGAGAAGAGCCCAAAATTTCTAAACATGCTTTCAGGGTTGCTGCAGTATTGAGGTAAATGTCTCTTTTGCTAAAAAACTGAAAATCCTAATCTTTCTAGTTAGTTGTGGTGTTGCATTCATAGTTTGAACTGATTCTCCAAAAAGTAATTTTAAATGTCCTTTGTTTATTGCTTATGCTTTTTAATTGTTGATTTGATTAAAATATACTATTGCTTTAGCTAATGCATAATGGTGACATCATAGAACTTTGTTCAGTTTTATTCTTAAAGAGAGGACAAAATAATGGATTATAATTAGACTAATGTAAACTCTAACAGTAGGAAGAAAATTTGAAGAACCATTCCAACTGGCATATGCTGGGTCATTCGGAAAGAAAGAAATCTGAGATGTTTTAGAGGAAAAAGAGATCATTTACAGAAGCTGAAGTACAGTACTGTGTTCATCTTAATTAACGCAGCAGACATAGGTAATCAAACATCAATCATGAGCCACTGGTCTAATTCCACCTAGTGGCGACTATTGACAAACTGGAGCTTGATCTTTTTGAGGGTTGAAAGAGCATCTTTCATACTAATTCTTGCATCAGGTGTCACCGAAGTGCAGCTCAAAGCTAATTCCATGACAGATAACATACACTGCATCTTTGCGTCGGTTTGTTCATCCCCTGGTTGTACCAGATTTGCATCCACCACCTTATGAATCTCACTTAGAAAAGAATCACTAACCCACTGTCGTATGTTCAAGTCTCCAGTAAATATTTCATCACTTGGTCTCATTCTTGTAAATGTCTCCATCATCATGATGCCAAAACTATATACATCGCAGCTCATGGATACTAAACCATCTTGTCCATACTCTGCAGTCATGGTAGAAAATGATTATAAAGGCTTCCTATCTGACGAGGAACTAAAATTGGGATTATCAATAAAATCTACGGGAAAGAATTGTTTTGGGAATTCTAAGTATATAAGGAAGCTTTAAAAAGTTCTAATACCTGGAGCAATATATCCAATGGTTGCAATTGTCCTAGTTTGTACAAAAGCCTCCCCTGCACCTAACAATTTTGCGATGCCAAAATCAGTGACATGGCCAACCATATCTTGATCTAGCAAGACATTGCTTGGCTTCAAATCACAATGCACCACAGGTGTTGAATAGCCATTGTGGAGATAGTCCATTGCAGATGCAACATCTATCATTATATTTAATCTCTGCAATAAATCCAAGAACAAGTTGTGAGAGTATAGCCATTTATCAAGTGTCCCATTAGGCATGTATTCCAATACTAAGGCTTTGAAGTTAGGGTTGGAGCAACTAGTGATGACTTTGGTAAGATTTCGATGGCGGAGGTTTCTTAGCATCTCACATTCTGTGTCAAAACTTTTGAATGCACCCTCTAATTGCACATTGAATACCTTTGCTGCTAAAAGAGTACCATCCTTAAGTATCCCTTTATAGACCATGCTGAAACTCCCATTAGCAATCAAGTTGCTTTCACCGAATCCTTCTGTTGCTTGTTCAAGTTCATAATAGGAAATTCTTTCATGCCCCTTTACCAATGACACATCTGCTTGACCTGCATTCTTCTTTTTCTTTCGCAATCTTAAAAATACATATGCAAGGGCTAATGCAAGAAAAAGCAGGCCCACTCCCAAAGGGACGTACAAAACCAAGATTGTCTTTTTCCTCTTTGACCTCTTGGTAGATTTGATGACACATGGTGACACATGAAACTTAGAATCACCACAGAGAGCATTATTGGACAAGAAAGACTGACTTGTGAATTTTGCAAAAGGACCTCCAGTGGGAATCTCTCCACTGAGTTTATTAAATGAGAAATTCAAGTATTTCAGATACACAAGAGCTTCTAATGACTTTGGAATTTCACCACTAAGATTGTTATTGCACAAATCCAAGTATTCCAAGGCCAGCATTTTGCCAAATGAATCCGGGATAGGCCCGTCTAATCTATTATGTGCTAGAGAAAGTTTGATCAATTTATCAAGGTACCCTAAGATGTTGGGGATCTCACCAGAAAAATCATTTTTTGACAGATCAATGAGTGTTGCAGCCTTTAAATTTCCAATCTCTAAAGGTATTTGCCCACTGAATAAATTGGACGAAACATTGAATTCTATGAGATCTTGAAGGCTCCCTAAGCTTGCAGGTAATCTTGAATACAACCTGTTGTTAGCTAGATAAAGTTTCCTCAAACTGGTAACACTTCCTAAGCATGGTGGCACTGAACCAGAAAAATGATTTCCTGATAAGTCTAATGCACCAAGACTCTTTAAATTGCAGATAATATCTGGTATCAGTCCTTCTATCTTGTTGCTTTGCAGGTAAAGTTCTTGAAGGTTCAACATTCTTTGGATAGTTTTTGGAATATGTCCAGCCAACTCATTGTTTTGCAGACTCATCCTTGTCATTCCAGTAAGATTACCAATTTCTTCAGGAATGACGCCCTTCAGTTTACAACCCTGTCCTTCAAAAATTTGCATAGCAGAAAAATTTCCAACTGATGCAGGAAAAACACCGTCCAACGGATTCCGATCAAATTTGAGTATTCTTAGTTTCCTACAGTTTGTGAGTGATGTAAGGAAGCTCAATGCTGAATCACTGAAAAAATTATTACTCCCCAAGTGTAAAATCTCAAGATATTCTAAGTTACCAAGTGATTCAGGAATTGGATCTGTGAAACTATTCCATGAGAGATCAAGTCCTGTGAGTCTTGAAGAATTTGAGATTGAAGACGAGATAAAACCGCTCAAATGATTATTTCTACAAGAAAATTTTTCCAGGTTGGGCAGTCGACAGCCTAAATCTGAAGGTAGAGTACCTGAAAACCTGTTTCCTCCAAGTCCTATGATCTGCAGTTCTGACATGTTGAAAATGCTATCAGGTACGGGACCAGTAAACACATTATTGTATAATGACAGCGCCTGGAGTTTCCTAAGATTACCTAGCTCCGCTGGTATCTCTCCTGTCAAGTGTGGGAAATATATGAGTACCGATTTGCGAGAGAGAGAGAGAGAGAGGGAAGAAAATTTCCGATTCCTTGTAAGGAAATATCATACTACCTTTTAAGTGCAGGTCTCGAAGATCTAATATTGTAAGTGCTGTCAAGTTAGCTAGATTTCTTGGTACAGTTCCAATGAACTGATTGACTGGCAATGACAAGATTTGAAGCTTTCCACATTTTTCTATGTTTGGTGGAATGACGCCCTCTAGGTAGTTAGTTGAGAGGTAAAGCAATTCCAGGTTTGGAAGATGGTCACATATAGCTGTTGGAAGCTTACCGGTAAGATTGTTGTGACTAAGAGCAATAATTTGTATTGTTGTAATGTTAAAGATTGATGGTGGTATAGAGCCAGTAAGATGGTTATGTTGCAGGTCTAAAAAAGTCATATAGTGAACATCACCAAGTTCTCGAGGGATTTCTCCTTCCAGAAAATTTCTCTGTATTCTCAACACTTGCAGCTTTGTTAGGTTGGAAAGGGAAGAGGGGATTTCTCCGAAAAACTGGTTCCCCGAAAGGAGCACAATGCGAAGATTTGGTAACAAACTTAAGAATGTTGGAATGGAACCAGTAAAATTATTGTCTGTCACATTAATCAGTTTCAGCCTTTGCAAATGAGCCAACTCTTCTGGCAACTCTCCACGGAAAGCGTTGTTACTAATGTCGAGGGAAACAAGAAATGAGAGGTTTCCAAGGTGTGGTGGAATAGTACCATGAAGCTGCATACTAGAAATGTCCAAAGCTGCGACTCTATGGTGGCGAGAGCTGCAAGTGATTCCAATCCAGCTGCAAACTGGGCTAAAAGAAGACCAGTTAGTTGCTAAGATGTTAGGATCAACAAAAATGTGAGATTTCAAGGCAACAAGAGCTGCTTCATCAGTGCTGATATTGGGAAACTTAGCCAGTGAAGTATGGTGATGAAGCAGAATGAAAACTGCAAGAGCAAAGACAAGATTGCAACTTGTGCCCATAACTATAACAGGCAGGCTTCTCTGTTTCCTAAAACAAGAATGGTCAAGGCAAAGCAATGACCTTAGTGTTGGAAAAATTGATTATGGAGAATAGGAGTTAGCTTAGGCATGTCAAAGACACTGTGCTTAAGATATTTCGCTCACATCGTGGTGAATAAAATTAGTCATATCCCCAAAATTCAACAATCTCTTCTAGTATAAAGAGCAGAAACATCAAAGATTAATCAAAAGAAAATCCAGCACAATAACAGAAATTAGAAGAAAATTTGTACTTCTTTCACACACTCCTCAAAGTAACACATAGGAAAACATATATAGTCCAAGGATCTTTAAGTTCTGATGTTAAGCAACGTTAAGAAGAATATTAAAAGTCATTCAAAAACTATTCAAATGGGTGTTATAAAATAAAAGCCATTAAGGATAACAAAATGGTCAAATTTGACTTTGTCAAAAGATTAACTTAAGGAATCCCATAATAGCTAGTAAATGGTCAGATTCAATTTGTTAAGATTGAATTCAAGCTTATCAATCATCCGTTACAAATATTAAAGAAATATATTCAAAATAATTAGTGTAATAAAAACCCATTAATATAATTTTAAAAGAATGAGCCTAGACATCAACCTGAATATTTCTTTTTGAGTTGTCAAAATTATTTTTCTAACACTTAGATGATTTAATTAATGATATCAATTAAATTCATAGGATATCAATATAATGTTGTTAGTCTCCGCACTGTTTTTCGGTTAAGACTTCATAATGTCAATTTTAAATACTAATTCTGTAAAGATAATCTTTGCAGGGCCCAAAAGGACAAACAAATGACGACAGGAAGAAAATGTCAAAGTAAACTGGAAAATGGCATTGGCGACCCTACAGCCACATACAACATAGCTAGAATAATATTTACAACGATAGGAACTGTCACTAATTAAAAAGCATAGGTTATCTTAATTAATCTAAAACTTTTCTCCTATGTGTCGAGCACTATTGTTCACAAAATTAAACTACGACCTTTAAGATCGTGATGACACCTAGTTCCTAAGACTGTGTAAGCCTATCACATAGTAGAAAGTCTCTTGAGAGTGGGTATCTCGATTGTGGTACTTTTGGGGTGATTAAGAGAGCATTCACCGGCTTATGAGCCTTAGGGCGATGTGATTTATGCTAGGGTCTCGTGTGATGAGTCTTGGTTGAGGATTGTGGTATTATGGCAAGGAGAAGTATCGATTTGAAGGTAATTCAGAAGGAACTAGAATAAATAGGACAACATGGTAGTAGGTTGGATCGGAATGGATGCGATTGGCTCTTTTGGTCTTTATGAGGTAGTGAGTTTCTATAGGTGTTTTGTGGTGGTACTCTTGGGTTTTGGTGGCCTGCGTGGCTTGGTTGCGTTAGAGAGATTCAGTTATGATGGTTTAGTTATGTGCAAATGGGTTCGGAGAGTTCTCGATGGTTTCTACCACGATTTGAGATGTATATTTTCTACTGGCGTGAGAAGCATGTGATGTATAGTGATTTTCTCCGGATGAAATCAAATGAAAAGTTCTTGGCTAATTGAGTGAGTAGTTGCTTGTGACTCGGAGTGGATTACAAAGTTCTTGTATTTTTTGTATGATGGCATAGTATATGCAGTGTGTTGTGTAGGATTGAGATTTGCATGTGTATGATCACGGGGAGGTCATGAGTCCTTAGGCAATATGGACAGTTTCAGATGACTAGGTAAATAACATTACTACTTGGTATGGCTTGATGAGAGTATACATTTCATAAGGGGGGATGCGTTTTGATTTATGGATACTTCATTGGTATTGCAGCACTGATGGGTTTTCAATGTCATGGCCTTATGTTTCTTATGTTTTGATGATCTAACAAACTTGTTGTGAAGAACTAGATAAAGAACCTGGCCCACAGGGTATACATTTCATGTGACTTCGTCGAAGTTTGAAATCAACAAATGGATGAACGACCATATGGAGGAACACAACAGGGAACTGGTGATTTGGTTCCTCAGGGTTCTCCGACACAAGCACAAGACAGTGACTGTGCGCAAACATTATAAAGAGAAACACAACAAAGACCTGGTCTCTTAGGGTTCTCTGACAGAAGTACAAGTAAAATGAACAGCTAGAACATAGCAGAAGAAAGTGACCATCTAGTAACCGTCACAGAAGAGGAATACAACTAGGAACTGGTCCGTTGGTGTGTCCTAACAGAAGTACAAATCGACTATCCATCTGGAACGCAATTGCCCAGAAGTGGCTGTGCAGACAGTACATCAGTCGCTTCTCATTGGGAAGAAGCGTACACCAAGAGTTAACAGCACTATCTATTGTGATATCTTTTGTGATGAAACAACCTGGTGCAAGACACACCATTTGTACATTCAGTGATATTCTCTCAAGCAACAACAATATTCATCTGGCATTGAAGTCACTGGTGTGTCAAGAATAAGAAGACAACTCCACTAAGGATCAATTTCTTAATGAGTTTATGTACATCCGTAGTTGAGTTGTAATCTTATTACTTGTTCGTCATTGTAATTCCTAGTTTGCTTTCTTAGAAGCATTATCTTAGGAACAAACTAAAATTCGTAAACTTCTGAGTTTACGTTGTGACTAGGGATAGTCATAAGTTTAAAGCCTTTGTAACTATAATAGTTATAGAATGACTTGTGGTGGGTACATCATAAATTAGTTGAAGTCTTTGCAATAGGGTTTTTGCAAAGTGGCTTGTAATAGGGAGATTGCAAGTTAGTGAAGTTAAAAGCCTACAAAAGTAGGCCGTGGTTATTTTATCCCCTTGTGTGGGATTTTTCCACCTAAAAATCCCTTGCCTTCTTTACTTTCAGTCTTTACAGCATTTTAAGCATCATCTCATATAGGACCAGGTACTCTATAGTTTGGTGGACTCATATAAACTATCAATTAGTATCAGAGTAAGGTTTTTCCTATAAGGCTAACACCTAGGAAGGATTTTCAATGGCTGCTCCACCAAACTTCGAAGAAGGACAATCAACCTATAGACCTCCCAGATTCAATGGTCAATACTATGACTGGTGGAAGACCCACATGCATGATTTTATGATGGTAGAAGATTCAGAATTGTGAAACATCATTTGTGATGGTCCACATGTTCCCATGAAGAAGCTTGAAGAAACATGACCAATGGTGCCGAAAGGGAGAAAAGAGTACAACGACATTGATAGAAAAGATGTAGAAAAGAACTATCGTGCCAAGAAAATCTTGATGTGTGGCATAGGACCTGATGAGTACAACAGAGTCTCAGCTTGTGATACTACCAAGAAATATGGGAAGCTTTACAAACCATACACGAAAGAACTACTCAGGTCAAACAATCCAAGATTGACATGCTCACAACTAAATATGAGCTCTTTAGGATGAAGGATGATGAGTCCTTACAAGATATGCACACCAGATTCACCTCCATCATAAATGAGCTTCACTCACTTGGAGATGTCATTCCCAAAAACAAGCTTGTAAGGAAAATCCTTAGTGTTCTACCTGGGTCTTGGGAAAGTAAGGTAAATGCCATCACTGAAGCTAAAGATCTACAAACTCTGACTGTGGATGAGTTGATTGGTAATCTGAAGACATACGAGATGAAAAGAAAGAAAGACAGTGAAAGAAGAGAGCCCAAGAAGGAAAAGAACTTGGTACTTAAGGCTGAAAGCAGCGACTCAAGTGATAAAGATAGTGACATGACCTATATTACTAAGAGATTTCAAAAGATGGTTCGAAGAAATGGTGGTATACCAAAGTGGGGTAGTTCAAGTAAAATAAGGAACAACGATCTCTATCACAGATGTGGAAAGTCAGGGCATTTCATCAAAGACTGCCCACTCGCGAAATAGGAGCAATACAAGCAAAATCTCGACAAAGCAGGAAAAAGGAATCTGGTTCCAGATAAATGATTCAATCGAAAAAGTGCTACTGACAATATTGTTAAGCAGGCTCTTGCTGCTTGGGGAGACTCCTCGAGTGAATCCGAAAGGGAATCAGATGCAGAAAATAGTTTCATGATGGCAGTGGAAACTAAAGCAATAAAGTACGATTTACTGTTCGCGCTGATGGCTCAGTCAGATGATGATGATGAAGAAGATGAAGACGATGAGGTAAACTTCAGGGATGTTCAGAGAAATCTGAAATCCTACTCTTCTAAGAAGCTAAGGTCATTATCTAATGTCCTAATTGATGCCTATTATAGCCTTATAAATGATAAAGAGATCCTGACCATAGAACTAGGAGAGGCCAAATAATCTAGAGATGATCTAATGGTCTGTGTAGTGAACTTAAATGAGACCGTAGATAATCTTGAAAAAGAAAAGGAAGCCTTGAATGAAAGAATAACTAGTGTAGAAAATAAGAGAGACGATCTCATGGTAGTAGTTGTTGATCTAAAAGAAACAATAGAAGGTCTTAACAATGAGAAACACACCTTAGAAGAAAAAATTGCATTTACTGAAGAAGAAAGGGATGACCTATTAGTAATATGCACTGATCTAGAGGAAACCATTGAGGGACTCAATAGAGAACATAGGAATGTAGTCTTGGGAAAGGGAAGGAAGTAGCCAGTGAGACTCACATCATGCTTGAAAAAGAGTTAATTGTTGTGAAAACCAGTCTCTATAGTGAACTCGAGAAGAATCAACAACTTCAAGCTGAATTGGAGAAAGTAAGAAATGATCTTGAGAAATCACTGAAGTGGACTTGGTCCGCAAATGTTGTCACTGCCATGTATCTTAACATTAGTGGGAACAAGCAGGGCATCAGGTTCCAAAAGGAGAAAACTCCTTACAACCCTCACAACAAGTATGTCACTATACCTGATAGCTGGCTATGTACCCACTATGGGAACAATAGGCATTTTAAAGAAAATTACCAAGCTAGGGTTCAGTCTACTCAGAAAAACAAAGTGTTTACTGATAAAGTGACTACTAACAAAGGACCAGGTACCACTCGCAAGAAGTGGATGTTGCCTGCATAGACTAGGAAAGCCCTCATTCATCCTTTCTATCATAATAAAGGACCCAAACTAGTTTGGGTTCCTAAATCTAACCTTTGATTTGTATGTGCAGGGAACAATGGGAGGAAGCGGACTGCGATGGACTATGGTATGTGGATGCTTAAAAGCACGCAACTGAAAAA